GAACTCCTGACCTCGTGATTTGCCCACCTTGGCCTCCCAAAGTTCTGGGATTACAAGCGTGAGCCACCATGTCCGGCCCTATATAGTGCTGCTTATACTCCTGAGTCTTTTTACTTCTATTCAGACTGGATTTCCATTAGAATTAACAAATCCCATTATTTTATCTCACATTAGCATTTTGGAAATTTAACTGTGGAGATGAATTTTAATGAAACATTTGTATTGCTGCTTAGTAAAAGAATAAGATGTTCATTTTGTTTTCTGTTGGGAAATAATGCTTAACTTGGTATAATAGCTATAGGACTTAAATTAATATCAGATGAATTGCAACTCTTGAAATTTTTCTTTTTTCTTTTTTTTGTTTGAGACAGAGTTTGGCTCTTGTCTCCTAGGCTGGAGTGTAGTGACGTGATCTTGGCTCACTGCAACCTCCACCTCCCAGGTTCAAGCAATTCTCCTGCCTCAGCCTCCTGTGTAGTTGGGATTACAGGCATCTGCCACCGTACCAGGCTAATGTTTGCATTTTTAGTAGAGGCGGGGTCTCCCAATGTTGGGCAGGCTAGTCTCAAACTCCTGAGGTGATCCACCTGCCTCGGCTTCCCAAAATGCTTGGATTACAGGTGTGAGACACTGTGCCCGGTCCCTTTCTTTGATTTTTAAAGCATATCCATTACCTTTTAAGGACTGTAGTAAGAAATACAGTCTAGGCCAGGCCCAGTGGCTCATGTCTGTAATCCCAGCACTTTGGGAGGCTGAGGTGGACAGATTGCTTGAGTCCAGGAGTTTGAGACCAGCCTGGACAACATGGTGAAACCCTGTCTCTACAGAAAATGCAAAACTTAGTTGTGCATGGTGGTGTACACTTGTAGTGCCAGCTATTCAGGAAACTGAGGTGAGGAGGATTACTTGAACCCTGGAGGTAGAGGCTACAGTGAGCCATGAGTGTGCCACTGCACTCTAACCTGGGCAACAGAGTGAGACCCTGTGTCAGAAAAACAAAACAAAGCAATCTAAACTAAACTCACTTCATAAATGGCTCTTATGAAAAAGTAATTTAAAACATGACCTTTCCGTGTTTTTGATTTTAGACACTTTATTTCAGAACTAGTAACTTGCAAAATTACCATGGATTTCAGTTTCAGTTGTTTATTATTACTTTTTTTAAGTGTCGGAGTATTGCTTTGTCACCCAGGCTGGAGTGCAGTGGCACACTCATGGCTTACTGCCGCCTTGAACTCCTGGGTCCAAGTGATCCTCCTGCCTTAGCCTCCTGAGTAGCTAGGACTATAGGCATGTGCCATCATGCCCAACTAAGTTTTTTTTTCCCTCCCCCTTCCACCAACTCGCTTCAAATAATCTGCTAGATTTTAAAAAACTTTTTTAGAGTGGGGGGGGTGTCTGTGTGTCGCCCAGGCCAGTCTCAAACTCTTGGCCTCACTAGGCCACTGGCCCACTCTCAAGTAGCTGGGATTACAGGTGTCAGCCACTGTGCCTAGATCCTATTACTTTTTGTTTTGAAAAACGTTCAGGAATTGTTGAGAAAGTACTGAAACATAAATCTTAAATTTCTCCTTGGAAGGCTGTGCTGACGATCCAAATAATTTTATACTACACAACTATTTAACTATAAAATCTTTAGCTATCAGATTAATTTCTCCCTATGAGCTAGGAAAACTGGAGTGTCCAGAGGAAATACTTAAGATAGTAAATTACATTTAACTCCTCAGCATTGGCAGCTGTTGTAGACTGAATGTTTGTCAAATTTATATGTTGAAGCCCTGCCGGTCCCTGTATTTGGAGATGGGACCGCTAAGGAAGTAATTAAGGTTAAGTGAGGTCATAAAGGTAGAGTGCTGATCTAATAGGATTAGTGTCCTTATAAGAAGATTTAGTTAGCTTGCACTTGCTTCCTCCCTCTCCTTTACACAGAGGACAGGTGTGGTGATGACATAGCAAGAGGACGGCTTTTGCAGTCTAAGCAGACTGAAACAGGCTGCCATAACAAAATACCAGAGACTGGTGGCTTAAATAACGGAAGTTTATTTCTTACAGCTCTGGAGCCTGGGAAGTCCAAGATCAAGGTGCCAGCAGATTTAGTGTCTGGTGAGGGCTCTCTTCCTGGCTTACAGACAGCTGCCTTCTTACTGTGTCCTCACATGGCCTTTCCTCTGTGATTCTTACCTTCTACAGCCATTGAATTACCAGTCTGCTGATTCTCTTCCCTCAGTAGTTTTCAAATTCATCCCCTCTTCTTCTTCCCTACTAACTACAGCTCTGGTTCCAGCCCTTTCTGTATGACGACAATAGTCTCTCAGATAATTCATGTTCCATGTGTTCTTATCTCATCAGAGTAATTATCCTGACATAAATTTGCTTATTTAAATTTTTCTGTGGTTCCCTCTTGTCTGTGGATAACTTCTAAGCTTTATAATAGGGTCCCTGCCTACCCCTGTAGCTTCATCTACTAGCAAGCATTCTGATAGTATGTGTAACATCAAACTACTTTCAGTTTTCCTCCCACTCCCTGAAGAATTTTACTTTGTTTCTTCTATTACTTTTGCCTGGCATGGGAAGGGACGATCCTTTATTCCTACCCTTTTTATCTAAGGAACCCTAGCTTATCCATTCTCACTTTTTGCAGAACTTCCATCTTACTTCTCCTCCCAGCCCCAGGTGTCCCTTCTCTGTCCCCCCAGAATATTCTCAACATCTCTCATTACATGGTTTTTAGTTTAGTTTAGGTGAATGTTTACTTCTTTTATGTAAAGAGCTGGTCATATTCATTTTAGTGCCTAAAACAATGTCTGGCTCATATTGGGTGTTCATATGTTGGTAGAGGAACCAAACATCCAGAAAGTAAAGGTGGCTTTTTCAAGATCAGGTCACTTAGAGGGGACAAAACTGAGACTGGAAGACGAATACCTCTTTTATTGCAGAACAATACAGCTCCTCCTAGTACAGCATAAAACTGGATAAGTACAATATCTATTGTGGATTTACTAAGTCAATTTAAGCTCATTTGCTTATAATTAAATGATTAAATTTTGCTTTATAAATCAAATTTTTACATATTGTATATATGGGGGCCTATGGTGCATGAATGGTTTTGCATGAAATTTATATAGTAACAAACAGTTAAAACAGTTGAAGTAGATAGGAAAGTCACAAGGAAGAAATAAAAATGGGCTTTTAGTGACCATACTTTGATAGTTAAAAAAATTATTGTGACATTTTCCAGGCATACTGTTTAAAAGATTACGTGGGCTGGGCTTGGTGACTCACGCCTGTAATCACAGCACTTTGGGAGGCCAAGGCAGGTGGATCACCCAAGGTCAGGAGTTCAAGACCAGCCTGGCTAACATGGTGAAACCCCATCTCTGCTAAAAATATCAAATTAGTTGGGCATGGTGGTCCACGCCTGTAATCCCAGCTACTCAGGAGGCTGAGACAGGAGAATTGCTTGAATCCAGGAGGCGGAGGTTGCAGTGAGCCGAGATTGTACCATTGCACTCCAGCCTGGGAGACAAGAATGAAACTCCACCTTGGAAAAAAAAAAGACTATGAGCTGTAGTATGGAAGATCTAAGGATGGAAATATTCAAACTTGAAAAATTGCATTGTAGCTTAATAAATGCTTGAATCAAATTTGCTTGCACTTACATATTGTGATTCTTGTGCCTTCAGGTTCTTCTGTTTTCCGTAGCATATTGCAGAAATTAGTTGAGGTTTAGAAACTGAGACCCATATATTAATTTGCAAAAGGATAGAGCAATATATTTTGGTCTGGGTACATTCTCAATTTCAAGATTTTTTTTTTTTGAGACAGAGTCTTGCTGGAATGCAGTGGTGCGATCTCGGCTCACTGCAACCTCCACCTCCTAGACTCAAGCTATTCTTGTGCCTCAGCCTCCCGAGTAGCTGGGATTACAGATGTGTACCACCACGCCTGGGTAGTTTTTGTATTTTTAACAGAGGTTTTGCCATATTGGCCAGGCTGGTCTCAAACTCCTGGTCTCATCTGATGCTCCCACCTCGGCCTCCCAAAGTACTGTGATTAAAAAAATGAGTCACTATGCCTGGCCTCAGAATTTTTTAAAGATGTATAAGTTTTAGGGCCAGGCGCAGTGGCGCACATCTGTAATCCTAGCACTTTTGGAGGCTGAGATGGGTGGATTGCCTGAGCTCAGGAGTTCGAGACCAGTCTGGGCAACACGGTGAAACCCCGTCTCTACTAAAATACAAAAAACTGGCTGGGTGTGGTGGCGTGCGTGGTGGCCTGCACCTGTAGTCCCCGCTACTCGGGAGGCTGAGGCAGGAGAATTGCAAGAACCCAGGAGGCGGAGGTTGCAGTGAGCCGAGATCATGCCACTGCACTCCAGCCAGGGTAACAGAGCAAGATTCCATCTCAAAAAAAAAAAAAAGGAGTAGAAGTTTTAAAAATGAGGTATCAAAAAAGAAAAAGCATCAGAAAGCTGAAATAGCAAGGTCGTGATTAAGATCATTGGATACATAGGATATGAGTTGAAGTTTTCACAGCCCCTTTTATTAAAATCATTTAAAAATATATTATTGACCCTGGTACTCTACAAAGCTTAGTACAATTTTTACTTATATAAATTCCAAATAGGCTAAAAGCTTACTGACAATATTGACAGTAGCAATGATGATGTAGGTGTCACCTGGGTTAAGTCATGAGAAAACCCAAACCATAGTGTCACAGATGCTACCCTTTAGCTTTGCATGCCCAGAATACAATTTAATAACAAAGAGAGTGGATCCGTCTTCTGGGGGTGTGTGTATTTTGACTAAGATCATTTAAGTTTTATATTATTATTGAGAGAAACAGTTTGTCCTGTTAATTTTCTTATTGTGTTTCAAAGTCATTGAGACTCAGAACTTATATTTTAGCACTAAGAACTGTGCCTGGCACCCAATAGGCATTTAATTGATATTTGTTGAATAATGTTAATAATACTCAAGGTCTGTGTTTTGTTCCTGCAGGTTGATCCCAAAGACTACATGTTCAGTGGACTGAAGGATGAAACAGTAGGTCGCTTACCTGGGACAGTAGCAGGACAACAGTTTCTTATTCAAGACTGTGAGAACTGTAACATCTATATTTTTGATCACTCTGCTACAATTACCATTGATGACTGTACTAACTGCATAATTTTTCTGGGACCCGTGAAAGGCAGTGTGTTTTTTCCGGAATTGCAGAGATTGCAAGTGCACATTAGCCTGCCAACAATTTCGTGTGCGTGATTGTAGAAAGCTGGATGTCTTTTTGTGCTGTGCCACTCAACCCATCATTGAGTCATCCTCAAATATCAAATTTGGCTGTTTTCAATGGTACTATCCTGAATTAGCTTTCCAGTTCAAAGATGCAGGGCTAAGTATCTTCAACAATACATGGAGTAACATTCATGACTTTACACCTGTATCAGGAGAACTCAACTGGAGCCTTCTTCCAGAAGATGCTGTGGTTCAGGACTATGTTCCTGTACCTACTACTGAAGAGCTCAAAGCTGTTCGTGTTTCCACAGAAGCCAATAGAAGCATTGTTCCAATATCCCGGGGTCATAGACGGAAGAGCAGTGATGAATCATGCTTAGTGGTATTATTTGCTGGTGATTATACTATTGCAAATGCCAGGAAACTAATTGACAAGGTAAGGAGAAAGAGAAAAGAAATAGTCATACACCTAGATTTAAAAATGGACCATTCTGGAGTACTTACATTCTTTTCAAATTGACTATTTGAAATATAGGCAACTGCTGGGTGTGGTGGCTCACGCCTGTAATCCCAGCACTTTGGGAGGCCAAGGCGGGTGGGTCATGAGGTCAGGAGTGCAAGACCAGCCTGGCCAAGATGGTGAAACCCGTCTCTACTAAAAATACGAAAAATTAGCCAGATATGGTGGCACATGCCTGTGATCCCAGCTACTTGGGAGGCTGAGGTGGAGAATTGCTTAAACCCGGGAGGCAGAGGTTGCAGTGAGCCAAGATTATGCCACTGCACTCCAGCTTGGTGACAGACTGAGACTGCATCTCAAAAAAAAGGAAAAAGAAATAAGAAATACAGGCAACCCTCTAGTTATAGTCCTTTGCCTCCACCCCCTGTCCCAATAGATTTGTCTGTAAGTAGATTGCTTGGGCCTTAAAATACTTTCTCAAAGAAACTTTTTTAAAAAAATTCAATTTGGTAAGCATTAAGCACCTATTTTTTTTTTTTTGGGGACAGAATTTTGCTCTTGTCACCCAGGCTGTGCAGTGGTATGATCTTAGCTCACTGCAACCTCCGCCTCCTGGGTTCAAGCGATTCTCCTGCCTCAGCCTCTCGAGTAGCTGGGATTACAGGCGTGCACTACCACACCCAGCTAATTTTTGTATTACTAGTAGAGATGGGGTTTTACCATGTTGGCCAGGCTAGTCTTGAACTGCTGACCTCAGGTGATCCGCCCATCTTGGCCTCCCAAAGTGTTGGGATTACAGGTATGAACCACCGTGCCCAGCCAGCACCTATTATGTGCTAGTTACTATTACCCTATTTCACTGATAATAGGATGCCTATTTGTTTTCCAAGGATTTGGTTATGTGGAATGCATCTTATAATTGATAGCAACTTAGAAATGACAAACTACAGTATATGCTAGAGATGAAGATAACATACACAAAATTCTTTGCCCTTAAAGAGTTTCCATTATACTAAATGATTTCTGGAGAAACTCACAAAAGTAGTACTGCTTAGTAAAGCATGACATTTTATAATTATTTAGTGGGGAAATTTCTTTGGAGTTCTAATTGGTTAAGGGGTAGAAAATGCATTTTTGGTGGGGGAAGGATGAAGTCTTGCTCTGTTGTCAGGCTGGAGTGCAGTGGTGCGATCTCGGCTCACTGCAGCCTTCGTCTTCCAGGTTCATGTGATTCTCCTGCCTCAGCCTCCCAAGTAGCTGGAACTACAGACAAGTGCCACCACACCCAGCTAATTTTTTTGTATTTTCAGTAGAGACAGGGTTTCACCATGTTAGCCAGGATGCCCTTGATCTCTTGACCTTGTGATCTGCCTGCCTTGGGCCTCCCAAAGTGCTGGGATTATAGGCGTAAGCCACTGTGCCTGGCTGAAAATACATTTAGGAATACTACCTTTGAACCCTGTTGTGACTGTGAGAGCAACCTCCACATTATGTTCCTTATTTTCCCGTACTCTATTGCCATAGAAAGGAGCTTTGTGTAGAAGAGTGAGATGGAAGCTAGGTTAGCAAAGCGTATAGGCTTATGAACAGTGGTGAGCTCATGAGTAGAGAAGGTTTCTAGGGTAGCAGCTTCTGCTTGAAAAATAATTGGAGATCTAGAGGTTAGGGGCTCCAGAAGCAGCAGTTCCTTTGTTGGTGGATGCTCCACTGGGAAGGCAGCAGTAGGATGTATTGAATATCTATTAATCAGGTTCCTTCAGGAGGAATCTGTTTGAATTTAAAAATCAAACTTGCAAAAATGGAGAAGTGAATGGAAAAACTCATCAAGTCTCTTTTTATTTTTTTGAGACAGAGTGTAGCTTTGTCTCCCAGGCTGGAGTGCAGTGGCAGGATCTCAGCTCACTGCAACCTCTACCTCCCAAGTTTAAGCAATTCTCCTGCCTCGCCTCCTGGGTAGCTGGGATTACAGATGCTCGCCACCATGCCCGCTAACTTTTTTATTTTTAGTTGAGACAGGGTTTTGCCATGTTGGTCAGGCTGGTCTTAAACTCCTCACGTCAAGCAATCTACCCTCCTTGGCCTCCCAAAGTGCTGGGATTATAGGTGTGAGCCACCACGCTCGGCTGGAAAGCTCATTATGTCTCTTTTTGAATGGATTTTTTTTAAAAGTTGGAACATATCAAAAGGAAAGATTTTAGGAAAATATTAAAAATGAATACCTCTTAATAGTTGTGCATTCTACAGTGTGGAAAAACGCATGTAGAAAATGTCTGAAATCTACAAAGTATATCTGAGGTGTAGTTTTTAAACCAACAGAAACCAAAGTATAATTTTAAGACTTTTAGACTTTCTTTTTTGCTTATGCCAATGTGATAAAAACATTCCATGAATCTGGTAAGATATAGAAAAAGGTGCTTCTGGCTTTTGAGCTATCTGATCACATGTTAATCCAATATCTGAGAGGTAAATATTTTTATTATACTGTATGGTGATTTTTTTTAAACTACATACAGTTTTCAAAATATGTAATTATTTAGGTTAAATTCCTTTTTTTTGTAGGTAATGTGGAATGGACATAAATAATATTTAGCATGTTTAAAGAAAAAAGCCATCAAAACAGTGTTTCTTCATGAGTCATCAAATGTTCTTTAACCTTTAGTATCTGGTATGTGAAATGGTAGTGTTTGTGTGCCCTTGAAAAGAATATGATGAGGAAGAATGATGTCCTTTAAATGTCCTCTGGAATACAATATAAACAATAATCCCAGAGTGATAATAGTAACTAACACTTACATAGTGTTTACTGTATGCCAGGCACTATTGTAAGGAATTTAAATGAATTAACTCAATACTCAAAACAACTCTATGAAATAAGTGCTATTATTCCCCATTTTACAGATATGAAAAATAGACCATAAAGAGGGTAAGTACCTTGCAAAAGGTCATTCAGCTGGTAAACAGCAGAGCCATGATTCCAGTCCAGGCAGTCTGGCTGTGTAGGCCACACCTTCACCCTTAAACATGATGCTGTTATGCTGCTTCAGTGGTAAAGGAAGTTGCTGCATGCCTGGTGGAGTAGGAATGTGACTGAAAGCATGTGGACTCAAGGGTCTTCTAGTCTAGGGACTATTTAAAAGGCTACAGTTATCCTATCTCATTCTGGCAGTACAGAATTAAGGAATGAAGAGAACAAACAAAAATAAAAAATGAAATGCCAAGTACATGTGAAGAGGGTATGAGAGATTACCTTTTTTAAATTTATTTTTTTGAGAGATTACCTTTCTTAAAAAATGAAATGAGTTCGTAGGGAAATATGTATAGAAACGAGTGAATCTTGAGATGAAAAAAATAAGACTTGAGTCTTTCTCATGTCATAACACAAATGTCAGGACAGCTTAGACTGAAACTGTGATTGCTAACTCTATATTTGTTAAATTGCAGGAGGATCATAGAATTTTGTTTCACATTGTTTTAATACATTAAATAATGAATTTTTTTGTGATAAGAAGTATAAAACTTGAGAGAGGGTAGGAAGTCCAAAAAGGCTGGGTAAAGCAGAAAGTACATTCCATAGGGAGCCAAGAGAAGTTAGTAGGCTTTTGTTTTCTCACCTAAAAATCAGATTCCTCGACTTCTCTTACCTACATCACAGATATGTGCAGGATAAATTAAAGTAAAATAGTTTGAATTGTTTAGGAGCATTTCATCATTTGAAATTGAAGTTGGTAGTTACTACTATTTTCAAGTCTTTAAAAGTAGAAGAATTTTCATGAAAAGGAGTCTCTCTAAATCTGCAGTGAAATATTACAATATAGTTTGTTATTTAGGTAACAGTATTTTGAAGTAATCATCAAAGTCTTATCAGTTTGTGTCTATAAAATTAGAGATGATAAACACTCTAGAAAATAGAATTGTTTCTGTTATTTTATTTTACAGTCATCTGGCAGTGATGTCCATGTAATTCTATACAATTTTTAAATATATGTTTCTATTTTTGGAGGCAGCATTGAATGAGGGTTCTGAACTAGGATTTGAGTTTGATCAAATTTAATGGAATGGTATGGAATAATGTAGCCACAGGATGAAATACTATCAGCCATTAAAACTGATTTCGTGTAGAAAATGTCACAAGTAAGTGAAAATTTGTAGAATATTATGTAAGTAACTGATTTTTTTTTTTAGGTAAGTCTGGAAAGTTATAGATACTAAAATGTTAACAGTCATGCTTATTCTTAGGCAGTTGATTAAGAGCAGGGTTTTCTTTTTTTGCAGTTCTATGGATTTAACAATGAGCATATATTATTTCTGTAATGGGAGAAAGAGAAAACTGGGAGGGTGTACCTGTATGGCAGTAGCATCTTTTAGTTGTAGCACCCTGGATGATATTTCTTTGTTTCTACTTTTTATTTTTCAAATGTCCTGTTTTGAGAATATGTTACTTTTAATTATTAATCGATGATAGACTGGACAGGGAAAATGTGGCACATATACACCATGGGGTACTATGCAGCCATAAAAAACGATGAGTTCGTGTCCTTCGTAGGGTCATGGATGAACCTGGAAACCATCATTCTCAGCAAACTGACACAAGAACAGAAAATCAAACACTGCACGTTCTCACCATAGGCAGGTGATGAACAATGAGAACACATGGACACAGGGAGGGGATCATCACACACTGGGGTCTGTAGGGGGGAACTAGGGGAGGGCTAGCAGTGGGTGGGAAGTTGGGGAGGGATAACATGGGGAGAAATGCCAGATAGGTGATGGGGAGGGAGGCAGCAAAGCACATTGCCATGTATGTACCTATGCAACAATCTTGTATGTTCTTCACATGTACCCTAAAACCTAAAACACAATAAAGTATATATTAAAAAAAAAAAACTAACAAGCTTTGCTAAAAATTAAGTGATTGGAATGACTGCATTTTTTTTTTTAAGAGACAGGGTCTTGCTCTGTTTTCCAGGCTGGAGTGTAGTGGTGAGATTATAGCTCAGTGTAGCCTCAAACTCCTGGGCTCAAAGGATCCTCCCACCTCAGCCTCCTGGGTAGCTGGAACTATAGGCACATGCCACCACACCTGGCTAATTTTTAAAATTTCTTATAGATGGGTTCTTGCTATGTTGCCCAGGCTGGTCTCAAACTCCTGGTCTCAAGCGACCCTCCCATGTTGACCTCTCAGAGACCTCAGATAGCAAGTATGAACCATGATGCTGGGCTGACTTTACATTTTTAAAAACTACTTGCATAATTACTTTAAAAATTAATACATCATTGTGGAGAATTATAGAAATATGAAAGAGCAAGATAAGTTCAAAATCAATATATAATTGTACCATACCTTGAATAATCTTTTTAGGAATAATTGGGTCAAATTAACTAGGTTTGAATCACAGCTCTGTCACTTAATTGTTAAATGTTTTTGGGTAAGTCCCTTAATCACTGTGTGCCTTAGTTTTCATATCTGTACAATGAGGGTAATGATACCTACTTCATGGGAGGGTTAAACATATACATGTTTTTTTTGGCTTTTTTTTTTTTTCTGAGACAGAGTTTCGTTCTTGTTACCCAGGCTGGAGTGCAATGGCATGATCTCGGCTCACTGCAATCTCCGCTTCCTGGGTTCAGGCAATTCTCCCGCCTCAGCCTCCTGAGTAGCTGGGATTACAGGCACGCGCCACCATGCCCAGCTGATTTTTTGTATTTTTAGTAGAGACGGGGTTTCACCATGTTGACCAGGATGGTCTCGATCTCTTGACCTCGTGATCCATCCGCCTTGGCCTCCCAAAGTGCTGGGATTACAGGCTTGAGCCACCGCGCGTGGCCAACATATACATGTAAAGTACATAAAGCTGCCTGCCACATAGTAAGTGCTTGGTAAGTGTGATCTACCATTATTGTGCTATACTATATACATTTGTATCATGCTTTTTAAAATTAATATTATTGGCCAGGTACAGTGGCTCATGCTTGTAATTCCAGCATCTTGGGTGGCTGAGGCAGGAGGATGAATTGATCCCAGGAGTTCAAAATCAGCCTAGCAACATGGCAAGACCCTGTCTCTACAAAAAAAATTAAAAAAGTTAGCCAGGCACGGTGGCATGGGCCTGTAGTCCTAGCTACTTGGGGGGCTGAGGTGGGAGGATGGCTTGAGCCCAGGAGTTTGAGGCTGCAGTGAGCTATGATTGCACAACTACATTCCAACTGGGGCAACACAGTGAGACCCTGTCTCAAAAAAGAAAGAAAAAAAACTATATAAATTAACAATATTACATAAGCTTTTCCCCATTTATTATAACATCTTTGTTGTATTTAATGAACTATGATAAATGTAATGAACTGTGGCATTTCATCATGTGACTGTACCATAATTTACTTAACCATTCTCTTCTCATTTGATATTTGCAATATCACCAAACTAAAAACTTCCATCTGGTAGTAGAAAAATTTTAATCATGTTTTAAACTTGAGAGATAATTCACATTTATTTGACCCTTAATCTTAACTGCAGTACTGAGCCAGAACTACCCATCTGGAAGAAAGAATCTCATATAGTGAGAATTTATTATAGCAAACACCCTGAATTAGACTTATAATTAAAACAAAAATCAGTGTGCTGTTGAGAAATACTAGAATAGAAAATCATTGTTTTAGTCTTGAAAATTCATTTTAAAATCTAAATGAAATTTTATTTTCACAGATGGTTGGTAAAGGCTTTTCTCTAGTTCAGACAAAGGAAGTGTCCATGAAAGCTGAGGATGCTCAAAGGGTTTATCGGGAAAAAGCGGCTGACTTCCTTCCTCTTCTGAACAAAGGTACCTTCTGGATGATTGGTATACTTTTGTGGTTATTTTCTTTACATGCTGATTTGATTTACTTTTGCCTTTAACATTTCTTTTGCGTTGCCTTTTCTTTCTCATTTGTTCTTTGTTTTTTTTTCTATTATTGTTCAGAAATGTTAAAATTTCACATCACTCAAGGAGCCCTAGATACTAACTAGAAATTAGGCATTCCTTTTTTCTCTATCCTGTGTTCTTAATACTGAAAGTCACATTTTATTATGTATCTTATTATTATTTTAATTATTATTGTATTTTTATTTTACCTGTATAGTGTAGTGAGTAAACATTTCATATTCCCTGCTCAGAGTTACAAAGCACTTGATAAAGATTCTGTCTATAATCATACTGGAAAATAAATAAGAAATATAAAGTGGTATATTATTTTATGTATTTCATATGATTGATTAACTTCCCTTATATAATTAGAATTGGTTTCCCTAATGGGTAAATGCCACCAATAAATTTCAGATATTGGATATAGGTCTTCAAAGAAAGGAATTTAAGTATGTGTGCCCACCTGAAGGGTTACTGTCTGCCTACCTGTATTTGAAGGTGTATTGATTCTAGAGGACAGAGTATTCTTTATCTGTTCAGAGTGCGGACATTGTTTGCTGAAGGCTCATCAGGCTTTCCTTGACTGGCCTGAGCAAGTATGTATAGTAATATGCAGTGTTGATTGAGTATACCCTAGAGAGGGGGCACATCTGCATTTTATATGCTCTTTATGTATAAAAATATTATAATAAACTATGAAAACCTGTATGAAATGTTAGAGGATTATTAGGATAATAAGTAGTGCTGCTGTAACTCAGCTGGTTAAGTATTAATGCAGAATTTAATAATACTTTTGTGGTTACTGTAGTAGTAGTAAGGACTTGCTCCAACCCTCTGCATGAATCTACCCCAGAATAATATATGTAGGAAATTCTGACCTGACCCTTTTGATGCAACCATTTTGACATGGGAACATTTGGAAGCTTGAAAATGAACCTTTAACCTCTTAGCAGCTTTTGGAAATTCAATCAGGTAATAAGTGTATTGGACATCCTAAAGTGTGAGAGTTAGTAATAAAGTGAGCATGTTGGTAGGTCTAAATTAATGATTTATGTACTTGTGTGATGTTAGTGAAGTAGTATTACAGAATTGCTCCAAACCAAATATAGTATCTGCATTTAAGTAACAGAACATTCCACATGGAAGAAGTAAAATGTTCTGTTGCTGCAAAAAGTAGAACTAAAACCAATAAGCAGATGTTGCAGGAATTTCAGCAAATAAACATTATATAAACAAGTCTTAAACACCAGAGATGCCTGTAGGACGTATTCAAAGACTGATGAGTTCATATCAAAAGATCATAGGAGCCAGCTTGAAGGAGTTTCCATGGGCCAAATTTGGGACAATTTAATAATTAAAAAGAATACTGGGACTGGATGTAGTGCCTCAAACCTGTAATCCCAGCATTTTGGGAGGGTGAGGTGGAAGGATTGCTTAAGGCCAGGAGTTTGAAACAAACCTGGACAACATAGCAAGACCCTGTCTCAACAGAAGATACAATTAGCTGGGGGTGCTGCACGTTTGTCGTCCCAGCTACTCAGGAGGCTGAGGTGGGAGGGTCACTTGAGCCCAGGAGCTTGAGGCTGCAGTGAGCCATGCTCATGCTGCTGCTCTATAGCCTGGGCAACAGAGCAAGAGCTTGTCTCAAAAAAAAAAAAGAGAAGAATGAAGGTAATGATTTAACATCAGAAATCTATGCATCCATATTGTTAAACAAAAAGGGGAGGGAAGAAAGGAATGTTCATCTGCTCTTTATAGAATATTGTGAGCTAAAAATGCAGAAGGAATGATGGACTTCGGAAATCATTTTCCAATGCCAGTGTAATAATTATTTCAGACAAAGATTATCAGTGGGTGGTAAAACTATTGGGGTAAAAGTTGCTAAGAAGTAGGATAGTTATACATCCTAATTCAAAGGGGAAGTGTACCTTTACAGCAGAGATTTGGTGATCACCATGTTAACCCAGTGATCAAACAGCATCACTGATGGACACTCTAACATTGTGTTACTCGTGATGTGATGCAGTGAAAAATATGCACCATCACCTGTAGAGTGTTCTTGCCCAAGTAACCTGAATCTAATTGAGCCAAGACTTAACTTCTAATTTGTAGGAAGAAAAGAAATATGTTAAATGACACCATAAGGAAATAATAAGACAAATCCAAAATAGAAGACATTCTACAAGACAACTGGCTAGGTCTCTTCAGACAGTGTAATGGAAAACAAAAAAGGTAGGGGAATTATTCTGGATTATGAGACTACAGAGACATAACAACTAAATGCAATGAGTGAACCTTGATTGGATCTTAGGTGGATTGGAGTGAACTGTAAAAGGCAATTTTGGGACAAGTAGTGGACTTTGAAGATGCGGTAGAATTATCATTAATATCCTTTGGTATGATAATGGTGCTGTAGTTATGCAGGAGCTACATGCTGAAGTGTCCCGATGTCTGCTACTTTCAAATGACTCAGCAAAACAAAGCATGTATGTGCAGATAGATGGTGTTTATTGTGTAATAAAGCAAATGTGGACAAATCTTAGCTTTTGGTGGTGTAGGTGAAAGGCAAATACATATTTATGCTATTCTTTCAACTCTTCTATAATGTGTAGAAATTTTCAAAATAATATTTGCGGAAAACTTTTAAGCTACTCAGCAGTGGAATAGTGAGTAGACTGGAGATATTCTAGTAGGAGTTGGATGGACTGGCCCTCATCTAAAAGTGGCCATCAGTCATTCTAAGACAGGGTGTCTCAACCTTGGCATTATAGACATTTTAGGCCAGGTAATTTTTTGTTATGAGAGGCTGTCCCGTACCTTACAAGATGTTTAGCAGCATCTCTGGCCTCTACCCATTAGATGCCAATAAAACACCACCCCAGTTGTGGCAACCAAAAATGATTCCAGATGTTGCCAGATGTCCCCAGGGCTATGGGAAGGAGGCAAAATTGCCGCCAGTTGAGAACCACTGTACTGAACTAAGAGTGGTCTTATGTATTTATTTTAAGAATTCACATATATCTTAAATAGTTTGCACCTCAGAGTCTCTCAGTTTTCCTCTTCAGTTGCAATAGTCACATTTATTTTCAATATTTAATAAAGCTATTTGACTGCTTAGTAAGATAATTCATTGTTTTTCACCATGAGGATCTCCAGATCTGACTAATTTTCAGCCAGGCATGGTGGCTCACACCTGTAATTCCAGCACTTTGAAAGGCCGAGGCAGGTGGGTTGCTTGAGCCTAGGAGTTCAAGACCAGCCTGGACAACATGGCAAAACCCCATCTCTACAGAAATTAGCTGGGAATGGTAGTGTGTGCCTGTAGTCCCAGCTACTTGGAGGCTGAGGTGGGAGGATCACCTGAGCCCAGGGAGGTTGAGGCTGCAGTGACTCATGATTGCACCACTGCACTCCAGCTTGGGCAAGAGAAAAAGACCTTGTCTCAAATACATAAATACATAAAATTTCTTTTTTCTTTTTTTTGAGACAGGGTCTTACTCTGTTGCCCAGGCTGGAGTGCAGTGGTACAATCTTGGCTCATTGTAACCTGTGTCTCTGGGGCTCAAGCAATCCTCCTGCCTCTGTCTCCTGAGCTCAAGCAATCCTCTCACCTCAGCCTCCCAGGTAGCTGGGACTACATGTGTGCGCCACCATTCCTGGCTAATTTTTGTATTTTTTGTAGAGACAGCATTTTGCCATGTTGCTCAGGCTGGTCTCGAACTCGTGAGCTCAAGTGAATCCTCCCGCCTCAGCCTCCCAAAGTGCTGAGATTATAGGCGTGAACCACCGAGCCCAGCCAGTAAACAAGTTTTCTACTCCTACCCCAGAAAGCCTGATTCAAAAGTCTTTGAGAGGTACCCTTGGAGTATTCCTTTTTTAATTAGTCAGACTTGGGTTCTTTTGTTTTAGGGAGTCATTCATTCATTTATTCAACAAAGTAAATGAGGTCTTAGAAGTAGGAGAGAGAGAAAGTCAGCTAATGTAGGGCCTTGTAAGCCACTGTGGAGACTTTGGCTTCTGTAGTAGTCTGAGTGAGATGAGATGCTGCTGGACATGTGTGGGCTTTATAAAAATAAACTTTTTATATTGGAATGATTTTAGGTTTACAGAAAAATTGCAAAGATAGTACAGAAAGTTTCTGTATATCCCTTACCAAGCTTCCCTAAATGTTAACATAACCATAGTACATTTGTCAAAGCTAAGAAATTTACATTGGTAAAATGCTAACTTAAACTACAGATTTTATTCAAATTTTACCAGTTTTTCCACTTACGTCCTTTTTCAGTTCCAGAATTCAATCCAAGATCCCACATTTCTTTTTGTTGCCATGTCTCCTTAATTTCCTGTGACAGATGTGACAGTTCTTCAGTCTTTCTTTGTTTTTCATAATCTTGAAACTTTTGAACAGTAGTGGTCAATTATTTTGTAGAATGTTCCTCAATTTATGTTTATGTGACATTTTCCTCTGGTTAGACTAGGGTTATGGGTTTTTAGGAAGAGGCAAAGTGCCCTTCTCATCACATGACATCACAGGGCACATGATGTCAATATGAGGTGGTATCTGCCAGATTTCTCTGCTGTAAAGTTTCTATGTTTCCCTTTCCATACTCCATTCTTTGAAAATGAGTCACTAAGACCAGTACACAATCAAGGAGTGAAGATTTAAGCTCTACCATCTGGAGAGAGGAATATCCACATACATTATTTGGAATTCTGTAAGAAAGATTTGTCCTGGCTGGGTATGGTGGCTCATGGCTGTAATCCCAGCACTTTGGGAGGCCAAGGTGGGCGGATCATGAGGTCAAGAGAGCAAGACCATCCTGGCCAACATGGTGAAACCCCATCTCTACTAAAAATACAAAAATTAGCCAGGCATGGTGGCACAAGCCTGTAGTCCCAACTACTACTTGGGAGGCTGA